GAGGGAGACTCCGTCAAAAAAAAAACAAACAAGAATAATGTAAACTGTCAAGGAAGGAGATATGAAAGGGAAGAATACCATTGTAGGTCTCTTCCTTACTTTTTTGTTTTTGTCATCAATTCCTAGATATAATTCCAATACCTCTCCCTTTCTCCTCTGCAGGGCACTGAAAGGCTTTGTGGAACCTACCTGAGCCAGTTAAGGGGAGTCGGAATAAGTGAGGGCCATCTGGGAGAGATAAAGGATGTTAGTTGCCAAAACCATCATCTCGTGCGTGAGTCACCATTGTCCAACATGAGGGTGTGGCCGGCCCCGCTGACCGCCTCCTTTCTCCTAGGCTACACTGCTGTGCTCTGGGACTTTGCCCTGGCCTGTGGTTTTTGGTTTTAAGGGATGGAGAATAGGAAGGAGTGGGCCACGAGTTAAGTTCTGCTCATCTACTGAACTTTCATCCCCAGGAGCTGGTCCAGAGTCAGAGCAGCTCCTGGTGACAGACTACCCTGTTCCTGCGGTGCTTCTGCCGTGCTTCTCTGGCCACTCTTTGGCAGGATAGCTCTGAGGTAGGCCTCTGGGAGGCAGCGGACAATGGGTACTTCCTCATCCCCATGTGACGCAGGTCGAGCCTACGCGTGACGAGGTTGCTACAGATGTATGTGCGGGCGGCCGTATAGCTGCCGAACTCTTTGTTTTGCACTCTGCTAGACAAAAACCCTCAAGCCCTGGTCCTGGAAGTCACATTTCCCAAGGTAGGTGGTATTCTCAGGACACTCACATAGAATCCTTACATTATCCTCACGCTCCCATTGCCACTCTAGTAAGTTGTTCTTTTTTTTTTTCCCCTTTGAGATGGAGTCCACTCTGCGTCACCAGGCTGGAGTGCAGTGGTGTGGGTCTTGGCTTACTGCAACCTCCACCCTCTGGTTCAGGAGTTCTCCTGCCTCACTCCCGAGTAGCTGGGACTACAGGCGTGCCACCACACACCCAGCTAATTTTTGTGATTTTCAGTAGAGAGACAGGGTTTCACTGTGTTAGCCAGGATGGTCTCGATCTTCCTGACCATCATCCGCCCACCTCAGGCCTCCCCAAAGTACTGGGATTACAGGTGTGAGCCACCATGCCTGGCAAGTTGTTCTTTTAAGTGGATCCTTACCGCTTGCTTTCCTTTAGCAGATCAAGGTCATGGGCAGGTTTACCACTCTGAGTGAGGTTATTCACCGTCTTTGGGGCAAGAGAGTCTTGTGATGGTGATCCTGCATGGGAATGTTTGAGCAGCTTTCATCCTAGGGAATCCAGGAAGTAAATGAGACTAGCCCTGAGTTGCACATATGACCAGAGACTGTTTCGGAGTGCTGCTTTGATCGCTCTTTTTATCCTTTTTCTGAAGCCTCCACTCCAACTCTCCACTGGATATCAGCATCAAAGGCCAGATGATTCGTGACCTTCTGAATCTGGCAGGTTTTGTCCTGCCCAATGCAGAGGATGTCATTTCCAGCCCTAGCAGCTGCAGCAGCTCCACCACCAGGTGAGGCCCCTGTTTCTTCACAGCTCCGCTGGCAGCATGAATAGCCCTGCTGTAGTTTCTGGGAAGGAATGGATTCTGGGTACTCCCTTCTGCCTGGTTTCCCTTGCTGCTCAGTCTTGCCCCTACAGTCCACTAACATGCTACCATGCCACATCAGTGCCTCTCAAGTATGTTCAGTTATGTTGATCCTCTGCTCAGGAACCACAGGCCTAGGAATTAGATTTAAACATGCACACTGGTGTGTGTGTCTAGTCCCAGCTACATGGGAGGCTGAAGCAGGGGGATCTTTTAAGGCCAGAAGTTCAAAGCTGTAGTGCACTATGATGATCACGCCTGTGAATAACCACTGTACTCTCTTTAGCCTGGGCAATATAGCAAGACCCTGTTTCTAAAAAAAAAAAAAAATTAACTCCTCACCTGGGCAGTCAGGGTCTCAGCTTCCTTTTTCTTGGTGTATCTCTCTTCTTCCTCTCCTGGCTCCTGTGCCCTGACAAACTGGATCACTCACACAACCTCAAGGTCAGAATGATCCTTAAGGACCAGTTGGTCCAGTCTCTTCTCTGAAATGTTTATTGCCTCTTGCTGTTCCCCATAGTGTTCTTTCCTCTGCTTATGGGGTTTCTTCCTCCTGAAATGCCCATAGCCAGACCTGCCATTAACCTCTACTGTTCATCAAAGTCTAGCTTATACATCTTCATGAAGCCAACTCAGTATGGCCATTTTTTTTTCTTTTTTCATACCATAAAGCATTGGGAACCACTCTTGAGAGGAGGCAGTTTATATTTACTTAGTATCTGAGATGTGTGAGGAAAACCCTATAATTTATCCTTCCAATAACCCTGTAAGGTTAGTATTTGTACCTGCAGTTTACAGAGGAGAAAACTGAAGCTCTTTGGGATTAAGTAGCCTATCAAAGTCATTCAACTGGAGAGTGGTAGGACTGGAATTCAAATCCTGATTTGCCTGATAACAAAACTTGCTTTCCCCACTGTACCTTGTAGACTCATGTTTGGCTCTGTCCAGTGGTTGTCATTTGACGTATCCCACCTGCCATACCGTAAGCTCCTTGGGGGCAAGAGTTGCTTTTTAATCATCTTTTTTTCATTAGTATTAGTTTTTTAGAGACAGAGTCTCACCATTCCGCTCAACAGTGATTATGGTAATTGTAGTAATGTGGGTGATGAAACTGAGGTGAAGGGAGGTGAAGTCAGTTGCCCAGGGTCACACAGCCAGTAGGACAGAGCTGGGTATATAGTTAAGTGTTCACCGAATTAAAACAAACTGAAGTATATACCACAATAAGGCTTATTGCAAGGTCCTCATTTTTTATCTTTCAAATTCAACCTAAAGATCGTGGTTTGTACCCTTTCACTTAATATTTGATGACTCTCAGGTTACTTTTGGGGAGTGTATTTTAGTCCAACCTACTGCTCAAGTAACCTCTGTTCGTGCATCTTTGTCTTCTCTCGAGAAGGGTATCTGCTGGACTGGACCTTCTCCATATTTCCTCCAAATACAAAGCTGCTGACCCTGCCCTTTGCTTTCTTTCCGGCCTCTGCTGTAGCTTGCCCACCTCCCCCGGGGACAAATGTCGAATGGCTCCAGAGCATGTCACTGCACAGAAGATGAAGAAAGCCTATTATCTGACCCAGAAAATTCCTGATCAGGTAGGAGGTTGGTCTTCCCCCCAGTGCTAGCAGAAAACTTCCCTGGTTAAACATTCGGGACCCAAAAGCAACCAGCTTTTCTTTTCTTTTTTTTTTTCTTTTTCGAGATGGAGTTTTACTCTTGTTGCCCAGGCTGGAGAGCAATGGTGCGATCTCGGCTCACCACGACCTCCGCCTCCCGGGTTCAAGTGATTCTCCTGCCTCAGCCTCCCGAGTAGCTGGGAATACAGGCATGCGCCACCACACCCAGCTAATTTTATATTTTTTAGTAGAGACAGGATTTCTCCATGTTGGTCAGGCTGGTCTTGATCTCCCGATCTCAAATGATCCACCTGCCTCAGTCTCCCAAAGTGCTGGGATTACAGGTGTGAGCCTCTGCTCCTGGCTGCAACCAGCTTTTCTTTAGAGCAGGGTTTCTTAATCCAGGCCTGTGATCCTCTGATGCACAGAGATTTTTTGGCATGTCTGTCATTCTGGGAGAGCATTAATTGTCTTTACCATGTTTTCTCGCCCTCTCTTGTCCAAGCTGTAGACTTTTGCCCTTTGGTTTCTTTCTCTGAGAGGCACAGTGAGAGACCCCAGGAAGCTGACTTTCTCAGAGCAGATAAGGGAGCTGGATTTAAGCATGGCAAATACAGGACTGGTGCCAAATCTGAATTGCTGGATCCTCATCTTGACTTTGCCCAACAAACTACTTAACCTCTCAGCCCCAGTGGCTCCCCCGACCCCAAATAAGAGTGTCTTCCCCACTAGCTAAGTTTAGTAGACTTAGGAACAGATGTCTGTCAGAACTGGCCCACTAGGCTGCCCTCAGTAGTTCCATGAGAGTCCTGGAGCTGTAGGACCCCAGGGGTGTGCTCCCTGTCCCCCAGCTTCTTGAGTCTCTGCCCCTGGTTTACACTCTCTGTCACACACTTTTTCTCCCTGTTCCTTGGACCACAGGACTTCTATGCATCTGTGCTGGATGTTCTGACACCAGATGATGTTCGGATCCTGGTTGAGATGGAAGATGAGTTTTCTCGCCGTGGTCAGTTTGAACGAATTTTTCCTTCTCATATCTCCTCTCGCTATCTCCGCTTTTTTGAGCAGCCACGATATTTCAACATTCTCACCACTCAATGGGAACAGAAATACCATGGCAACAAGCTTAAAGGTGATGTGCCCTCCCAGCCCTCAGAAAGCCATGTTTAGTGAGAGATTAAATCCCAGTATACCAAGAAATAAGCCTCTCTGGAAAGAAGAATTGGCCAGTTGATTCTACTTTCTTAAACCACAACTCCTGCTAATCTTGTCCTAGGAGTCGATCTGCTCCGGAGTTGGTGCTACAAAGGGTTCCACATGGGAGTTGTCTCTGATTCTGCTCCAGTGGTGAGTGCTGCCAGTGTGGAGGACAGCTCCTTCTCAGGCCCCTCCCTCTGCCTTATGAGTGCATCAGGAGTTGGATTGGTATGTACAGGCCTCTCTCACTTCTCTGCTAGGCTGTGCTTCTGTCTCACTACTCTTTCCTTTCAAGGGAATAGTTGCCTCCAGGATTACCTGGGTACCTTTCTTTCAAGGATCAAAAAGTGCTTTGTAGGCCTCAACTTCTTGTCTGATTCAGAAGAGAACTGAGACTTTCACCCACCTGGGCCTACACCTGAGGGGTAGGGAAGGGGAGAGCCCCATGATCCACTTAGAGGTAGAGCTGGAGGGTCCCAAGACCCCAAACACTCCTGCCTTGCCTCTGCCAAGCCCTTTTGGTCTCATTGATTCCTTTGCTCTTAGTGGTCTCTCCCGACAACACTTCTGACTGTCTCAAAGGATGACGTGATACTCAATGCCTTCAGCAAATCAGAGACTAGCAAGCTGGGGTGAGTGCTGCCTGGGCAAGGGATGGGCTGCTGGCTGTGAGTTTGGAGAGTTTTCTTCCTTCCCGTCTTCCCAGACTGTGGCAGTGAGATCAGCATTCTTCAGCTGGGGGTTGATGGGAGTGTCAGGACATGCAGCCATAGCATCCTTTTCCTGGTAGCTCTTGGTATGCCCAGGGAAGCTGAGCTGGAGGACAGAAGCGCCTCCTGAAGCGACCACTGTCAGCCATACCCACTAGCTGTGGGAAGTCGTTAGCCCTCTACCCGCACCTCCATTCACTCTTACACTGCAGATCTCAAGCCTTCAAGTAAATAGAATATTTTTTTATGGTTATTACATATCCATGTAATTATGGCCTACAACACCGTAATGTCGTGAATGCCTGCTCCAGACTCTGAAGGCAAATCCTAAGGTAAAGTCTCAGTAACAATGTCTCAGCCATTTCTTTCACCACCTATTCCCTCCAGAAAACACAGCTCCTGTGAGGGAAGCCTACTGCTCTCTGAAGATGGGACCACACCCAAATCCAAGAAGACTCAAACTGGCCTTTCCCCTTATCCCCAGAAACCCAGTTCCTCAAAGGACAGTGAGGACACCAGCAAAGAGCCCAGCCTTTCCACTCAGACGTTACCTGTGATCAAGTACTCTGGGCGGACTTCAAGACTTTCTACTTCCTCCACTTTCCAGTCAACCAGTGACTCCCTTCTGGCTGTGAGCACATAATTGGCCTCTCTCCAAAAGCCTCTGCCCAGGAGCATGGGCATCAGCTACCTCACGGGAACCAGCCTGCTGTTCAGACCAGTCTGAGCTCCTACCCCTTTCACCCTGTCCCTCCTCAGAGTATTTTTTGAAGTGGTTGCATTACAGAGATGGGTATTTGTAGGGCCGGGGGGATGGTAGTGATGGGGAGAAGGTGAGGAAGGGTCACCCTTTGTCACCTGTCTGCCTGGCTGGCACCTCATATCTCAGCAGAGAAGCCAGTGGTGGCCACGCAGCCTTATAAAGCAGGTTTTCGTTTCTACCTTAAGTGAGCCATGTGTGGTTTGTTTGGGGCCCTGGTGAGGTTGCTGAGTTGTAGCTCAGGAGAAAACATACAGAACGGATTTAGACCGGAAGTCCTTTGTTCTGAATTTGAGGGGGTCTTCTGAGGTCCTTATTTCCTTAGATCTTTCCTCACCCCTCTCCCATCCCCTGTCCTGAGGAGAAGCCTTTGAACTTCCTCAGTAGACAGGCGGAGAAGCCACAACATGCCGAGCCCATTTCCTGTCATCCTTGTCTTGGGGCTTCACTGCCTCCTTCCAAATACCCACCCTGCCAGCAGCCCTAGGTCTTCCTATTCTGACCCCCCATCACTGCTCATTTAGCCTTCTAGACGCCTCTCTTGTGGACATCTGTTCTTTAGCTGTTGGCTTTCTGTGAGGTGTGAGAGGATCTATGAACTTTGTGAATTTCCCATGGCCCCAGTGAAGGAGCCCAGATAATCCCAGTAGCTGTTACCTGTCTCCATGTATCAAAGGACACAGTCCAGGGGGAAGGTGGAGGGGGATGTGGTTTCTCTACAATGCAACAAACGTGGTTTCTCAGTGTTCTGCCCTACGGCAAGCAGGGTCTGGTGGGTTTCAGGAGCAGTCACTATTGCAGGATGGGCTTCCAATCAAACCTCAGACTAAACTCTTGTACTCAACTGATTCTACCTCCCTCCTCTAGACTCAGTAAACAGTGACTATTCAATAAATGTTGACTGAGTGAACTGTATTTACAGAGATCTCAAAGGACCTCAGCACTTGAACCAGAAGTTCTACTTCTCTCTCATCTGGAGATGAGAAAGTGGAGCCTGGAGACAGCGCAAGCGGAAGAGTTCGGATCAGAAAGGTTTCCTCTGGAGCCGTGCTCCTTCCTAACCCAGCCCTTCCTGGTTGCTGCTTGCCTCCTTCCCAGCCCCTGTAGTCCCTTTACTTAGTTTTTTCTAGCAGTGGCACATATAAGAAGCCAGTTGGCCCTGTGTCCCTGCTACTCAAGTTTTCTCTTTGCACATCAAGCAGAAAGCTCAGCTACTTGGTCTCACCCTGGACTGTAGCTGCCTTCATTCTTTCTGAGCTTTGGAAAGAGAGAGATTCCCGTGTTTCATGGCTCCTGGAGTTCTGTGGCGAGGTGGGGTGGAGCCCTGGAAAGATCACTGAGAGGCCTGACTGGGTTCAAGGCCACAGAGTAGGTGGATGTCTGGCCCGTCCTAAGGCCATGTTGACATTTGTAAAAGTTTGGTGACAAAGTCCTGGGTATCATTGACTGCTTAATAATAAGGACTTTAAAGTCGGGACATAATGGGAGAGGTCCTTGATGGTCCCATTGGATTTTTTCTGATGTAATTGAAGTGACCCACCTCTTCTCCCTGCTGGCTGCAGTATTCTAGTGCAGACATGATGTGGGGAATCTGCTGCCTTCCTAAGAGAAAATGAACTGCCTGCCTGGCAGTGTTGTTGTGGCTGGGCCTTCACGGCAAGGACTTAGGCACGGAGGCCTGATTGAGCTGGTTTACTCCATGAAAACCAACTTCAGTTCTTTGGCTTGCCCTCTGAGAATCCCTGTACAAGACAGCCAATCAATTTCCATTCCTCTAAGTGGAGAGGGAACCAGCACTGCTGAATGGGGGTATTGGGGGAAGCATGGTGGGGGAAGGGAGGACTTAGGAAATTAAGTCCTTATGAGCAATGAAAGTCCTAAAAAGAGCAATGGAAAGATAGTGCTCTTAGTAGTTTAAAACATGTTTGTACATTCTTTTTAATTTTCATCACATTTGAGTATCTGATAGACGTGGGCTGGGTAGGGGAAAGGAATGGGACTTACGTATCACATTTACCTCTCTCTCTTGAGAGAAAATTAAATCTTATTAAGCATTTGGCATATGTACTTTTGCATTGAATGCCCACAATATGAGGTATTCAGCTAAGCAGGAATTTTTGAGAAGAAGTGAGATTTTTTTTGGGAAGTTAAATTTGGGAGTATAGTAGAATAAATATTTGTCAGAATATGTCAGTTGTTTTCCTAAGTTGATAACTTACCTAGTCTATTCGGAGGAAGGGAGGCGAGTGTTCCTGAGACAAGGAATGAAGTACAGGCTATTTCTGGAGTAGTGGAGTAAGGGCTTGGGGTGGAAAGTGGAAGAGGGCAGTCACTGCTGTTTACTTTGCATCCACTTAGGAATGATGAGAAACTCAGTTTCTTAGAAGAAATACTAATGAAGAGATGGCATTGTATCAGGAAAGGATCAGGAACCTTGAATCGGGCTGACCTTGGGTTTAAATCCCAGTTCTGCCACTTACTGTGTGACCTGGGGCACGTCATCTAACTTTTAAGTTTCCCATTTATTTGTAGTATGAATGTAATACCTACATTGCAGGGTTGTGAAGATTTAAACCAAATGTAGTAAAAGTACTTAGGACATAGAGGGCACCTTGCACAGTCACACCTTCTCCACTTGCTGTCCAAGCCCTGTGCCCCAGGTGGGAAGAGACAGGCAAGAAATGTAAAACCCTCTCCTCCAGGAGGTGGAGCTGCCATTGAGGTATTTTAGAAGTGAAGATGCCAGAACAGGGTCTAGATAGCTCCTGACCCTCACCTTCACCCCAGTGCACACACAAATATCACCATTCAGCCTCCTATTACATTATCACTCTACTGGGGATTTGTTTCTTTGGTTCAACATTTCACAGTCAGAGCATAGAATCCCTGAGAAAGGAAGCACCTTAAACATTAGAAGTATGTGAACTGAGTGAGATTATTAAATTATTTCAAGAGAAGCTTTGATAAGAAAGGGAAAGCAAGTGCGGTGGGTGTCAGGTGGCTGGAAAGGGGAGAAGCAGGTTACAGAAAATAAGAGACCTTGACTGGAACTGGATCCAAAGAGCAGATATATGGACCTAACAGCTGTATCAAGGGGCAGTTGTCATTTCAGGTACATTCTCTTGGTGTCAGGCTGTTTGGCTGAGGGTGATTATCCCCCCTGTCACCCTAACCAAAGGACATACCCAATGGCTTCTGGGGCAGTCCAACACTACTGAGGGCCAGTGAAGGAGATTGATCATCTGGACACAAAGACCTTTCTACTTCCTCCTTAGCTGAATTAGTTACCCAAGATAGGTGACCAGCAAAGGCAGACAGGGATCTCCTCTCCTGGGTTCCCCTTGATTTGTCCTCTAAGATTAAGGCTTACCTGTGACTGCTGTTCGAATACCCCAACTGCTGTGAGACTTGGAAACACTGATGGTTTACAGATGGCTAAGAGAGCTCCATTTCTTGCCACCTGAGATTCTGACCAAGCCTTTCACAACCCCTCTTGGCCTTTTAGAGTCCCCCTGTAGCAGAGTTTGCCCACTCATTAATATCCGGGGATCTATACCAGCTCATTTGGCTTGCCCCTTCACCAGCTTTGGATCAATGAAAGTTGCAAGCAGTCATATGTTGCTCTTGGCAGATATCTCACAGGTGAAAACACAAGAAGGTTCAGTAGCAGGTGGTGGTTTTCTAAAACCCATCTGTGTTTTCTAAACCCATCTGTGTCGTAATTATAATAGACTGAGACACATGGAATGCTAGGGACTGCCACAGTCAAAGCTAACAAAATTTTGAAAAGATATTAAGTTTCAATTAGTAAACTGGGAACACCAAAGCCTACCTCATAGAATAGTTATGGGACTAAAATATGGAGGAAAAGCACCTAACAAGGTGCCTGATAATATATGATAACAGATTTAAAGTAGTGGATTCTAAAACTGACCAAAACTACCACCCAAAACATTTAAAGTAAAAGTACGATAACATACAATAGTGTTACAATACTATTAAAACAGCATGCTAATATTACAAAACTATGGTAAAATATACTTCGCTTTTATCCATAATTAAAGCTGAGGATGTATTGATAATTAGCTTAGAAAGATTAAAGTCCTTGTCAGCAGTCAGAGAAGAGCAGTTTAAACTGCAAGATACTACGTAACACTAAAGTGGCTCAGACTTAGAAGATGGAAAATACCAAGTGTCAGTATGATACTGAGATACTGTGAAGGCGCTGAAGGGAATGCAAAATGATGCACTGGAAAGCAGCTTGGTAGTTTCTTATAAAGTGAAACGTGTCCTTAACATATGATCTAGCAATTCCACTCTTGCAGGTACATGTTCGTAGCAGCTTATTCATAGAAGCAAAAATTTAGAAACAGCCATATGTCCAACAATTAATGAATTAAATTGTGATATCTCTGTTCAGTGGAATACTCTTAGATATAAAAAAGGAAAAGGGCTGGGCACAGTGGCTCACACCTATAATCCCAGCACTTTGGGAGGCCCAACAGGGCGGGTGGATTCACCTGAGGTCGGGAGTTCGAGACCAGCCTGATCAACATGGAGAAACCCCGTCTCTACTAAAAATACAAAATTAGCTGGGCCGTGGTGGCACATGCCTGTAATCCCAGCTACTCAGAAGGCTGAGGCAGATAATTCGCTTGACCCAGGAGGCGGAGGGTTGCAGTGAGCCGAGATTGCCCCATTGCACTCTAGCCTGGGCAACAAGAGCAACACTCCATCTCAAAATAAATAAATAAATAAATAGGAAAAGAGGTTGGGTGTGGTGGCTCATGCCTGTAATCCAGCACTTTGGGAGGCCAAGGCAGGAGGATCACTTGAGCCCAGGAGTTCGAGACCAGCCTGGGCCAACACAGTGGGACCCTGTTTCTGCAAAACAAATAGAAATAAAAAAGGAATAAATTGATTCGATGGCCAATACCATGATAAAACTAAGCGGGAAGACGCTAGAAACAAAAGACTATGCTTTGTTTATTCCATAATGGTCTAGAAAATGCAAACTATAGTCACAGAAAGCAGAACAGTGGCTTGCCAGGGACTATAGATGAGGGAGGGGTAGACTGTAAAGGACATGGTGGGAAAATTCTGATCTTGATTGTGTGGTGTGGATACATGACTATATACAGTTGTAGGAACTTATCAAATTGTGCACTTAAAATGGATGAGTGTATT